CAGAAACTGTGCCTGTGGCAGACATGCCAAAGCCAGTCTCAATTCCTTTGAAAAGAAGTATCACTGCTCACTAAAGAATGACATTTTGGATCTTCTTCTTGCTAGAATATCTTCTTCAAATATATACATTTTTTGAGGTTCTGGGGATTGAATATTGGGCTAAGTCAATCTGGGGATTGAATACCCCATGTGCATGCTAGGTAAGTGCTATATCACTAAACCATATCCCACCCCTTTTTAAAAAGTTTTATTTTGAGACAATTTCTCACTAAGTTGTCCAGGCTGGTCTTGATCTTATGATTCCCCTGCCTCAGTCCCCTGAGTAAGTTGAATTATAGACATGCATCATCATACCCAACAACTGTGTATATCTTTCTGGATTAAGTTCAAGAATTTGCTTTTTCTTAATTCCTTACTGACTTAACCTCTGCAATTTTACTCTCTAAATCCTGGCTTTTATTTTCTGAGCTGTTCCTTCAGCATTTGGCTCTGTGTGGCTCTCTTGTGTTAAAAGTCCTTTTTCTCAAGTTCCTGTTGTCTGCTCAGGTTGCCCAGGTCAGAAGCTTCTTGTTTTTATGTCCTACATAGCCTTCATATTGCCTTAAGCATGCAGTGATGATTGGAATGATCTGTTGGCTTAATTTCCATGAATTTGTTTGGAAAAGTCAGTGATTAACAGGTTGCTTTTGCCACGTGGGAAGTTCACGTACAGGACATCTCACACCATCACAGTTGCAGATAACCTACACATTGGTTCATGTGTGATGGCATTATGGGCATCAAGGAACATTTTGGTACACTCACTTGCAGCTGCTTTTGCTTTCAGATATCTCAAGGTACCTTGACCATTGTTTATTATCTATGTGTTGATGGTGGAGGGCTGCTGTGTGGGGACTCAGCTTTCCCCAGGTCCTTGTCTGTGTAGAGGACACTGTACAGACACATGGGTATTAATGAATGAAAACTGCCTCTCCAGCATGGGCCAGCACTACTCAGGCAGAGGACGGGGAGCCTCCACAACCAGGCCAGTCTGATGCAGGAGCACCGAGTTCCTCCTGGATCACAGAGTCCTCTGCACATGTGCATCTTTGTTCCTTGGTCAGAAAGCATGAGATCCTCTTGTCACAGACTTTGTGATCTCCTGAGGATCTCTCACAAGATGTGCTGAAACTTCAGTAGCCGCCCTTCTGATGTGTCTGAAATGTCCACAGATCTGTTGGGGGAAGAGGAGCCAACATGAGTGACAGGAGGCTGGATTTAGGCTCTGAAATCGTACGGATGGAACTTTAATGTCATTCCTCATTTTTTCAAATACCAATTTACAGATTGCATGCCAGGCTCCCCAGAGATGCAGGACTTGCCAAGTATGCTTGTCATTTCTTCTAATTAGGTTTTAAATAAATCAAAGACTCTTGTTTTCATTTACCTTGGATTATATAGCAACAATGTTCTTGTTTGTGTTGCCCGCAGAGGCAGTCCTCCTGGAAAGGGCACCAGATTCCTGACATTCTAAAGGCTCTGGAAATTTCCTCTCAGGTGCTTTACTAAGCATTTGCTCAGCCCCATGTGCAGGAGGGAAAGAGAGCAGCCTATCTGGGCTGCTGGCTCCTCCCTGCTCCCTTCCTCTGCAGTGCTGTGGCTGGACCCCTTGAAGTCTGAGGCTGGGGACTGAGACGTCATGGGGAGAGGAGGCTGTGGTGGCTGGAAGGTGAGCCTATGTGCTAGGCCAGTGCCTCGGCCCTCCCTCTTTCTGGAGTGCCTCTTGGACTCCTCCCGCTCAGGTATTGTCCTTGCTGCATAGGCCCTCTAGCCCATGCTCACTGAGGGCTCTTCCCCTGCAGGGATCTGTGGAAGCGCCAATTCCATCTGGAGTGAGATTTCCAGTCTACACTTCACTCTTTATTTGAGGGCAGGAGGAGAACTCTGGCCTCTAAGTGCTCCTGAGCCAGAAAACTAGGAAAAATTTGTCAGGCAGGCTCTGTTTCTGCTACCTTCTCCACTGCTGATGTCTAGTGATTAAGCCAGGGACAGTGGAGAAGGGCGAGTGGGCTCTAAGATTGCAGCTGGATGGCCCAGAGGTAGTACTGTAACTTGCCTTATTGGGAAGGGACAGCCAGTCTTGTGTTACCTGCTTCTAGGGATCAGACTTCAGACTGTGGGGGTGATCAAACACTTCGGTTATTTTGGGCAGCAGGAAGACTCTAATCTTTTCATAAATTACAGGCCTATGCAACTAGGTTGCCTAAGTCCCTAAAATATTCCTGCCCTGCCTTTCCTCTCCCTTCTCTCCTCTTCTCTCTCCTCCTCTTCCTCTTCCTGTTTCATCTCCCCTCCCTTCTTTTCATCTTTATTCTTCCTCTCCCTTCCTTCCTTCTCTCCTTTTCTCTTTCTATGAAACTCTAATAACTGCTCCCAGATATTCACTGCAACAGTATAAATCACATCTCTCTCCCTCAAAAGAATCAAATATAGTATTTTCAGTGCTACATATAAATTAGGAACCAGCAGATTAGAAGTGTGGCTGAGTGGGATGGGATTGAGTATAAAACCCATTATCAGCCAATTAGGTGCTGCCTACCTGTGCTTACCTCTCTGGTCCTTCTGTCCCTGCAGATGCCAGCCCCAGTGCCTCAGGCTGTGGCGATTTCACTTCTGTGCTTGTTAGGAGCTGCAGTTTGGTGAGCACTGCCTCTGGTGTCTGCATATGGGGATAACACAGAGCCAAGCACAGCCTCTTTATTCCTCTACCCTGCATAGTTGTGGATCACACCCACTTGAGGAAGTGCCAGTCATGTCTTTATTAGATCAGAGTGCGAGAGGATGTGATCAATATTAGTCCCACATTTTTACAAAAGTGATCTCCACAGACATTAATGGGTTTCTTTGAATATCAACACTGATGAAACCAGGGAATGCTTATTAAGGGCACTAAGGTGATTCTCCTTGATATTTAAAGTAACAAGTCCAAATAAACTCATTGATGAAAGCCAATTGATACATTTTGATACATCTGGGATACATGTAGTGTCCCAGATAATTCTTTTAAAAAATGTTATGTCTTTGTGCTCGATTCTATAACAACTGTGTCCTATTATGAAGAGTAATAACTAAACTTTGAATGATTTGTTAATGACTTTAACTTGCCATCTTTCATAGTGGATTACAAAATATTATTTAGGAAAAAGGAAATATTTCCCAGGGCTTAGAAGTTCTAGATCTTTGTATGTTGCATATTATATTTCCTGTATTTGGCTTTAATTTTCAAAATAAAAATTGTTGCATAACCAAGCACAAAACTACTATGTTTTGAGGAATTTCTGCCCAAAAGCTTATTATCCAGCCATTTCAAATAACTTTCACTCATTCAAACTTACTCATAAACCAAGAGGTCAACAGTAAAGACTTTGAGGCCATTGAAACAGTTCCCATCAGTTGAAGAACTAAAATCCATGTTCGTAATTATAATGGAAAAGACCTTAGGCCTTCATTCAGAACTTATTCGCTTAATTTTGCATGTTATTATAAACTTTAATGATCTGGTTTTCAGACTAAAAGCTGTACAGAAACTGTGATTTGGGAACCTGGAGAGAACAAAAGACAGGAGCAATGATTTGAAAGGAGCTTCAATCAGAAGGACAGGAACAGCAAAAGGACTGGTCTTTATAAATGCATTGTGCAGGGTTTATGAAGGAAAATTTAGATTCTGGTCTGTGTGTTCTGCCTTAAGAGGCATAGAAACTTGCAATGTATTTTAAGAGGGTCTTCTAAAATTTAGTATTATGTAATTAAAATTAGTTTATCACTTACAGCCCTTTATGTCATATGTTGTCATCATAGAACGTTGCATTTAATTATTCCCGATGAATGATGTGAGTATATTTGCACATCATCTCAGAAGGCTAAGAGATAACATGTCTTAACTCAGTGCCTTGCAAACTCATGTAGCCCATATCCCTTCTTCCAAAGAGATTTTGACTCAGGATTCTGGTAGGGAACACAAAGCACAGAGGAGCTGTTCCAGTTTCCGAGTGTTCATGGGCTCTGTGGGCATGCACAATCTTCCATGTTCTATCCCCAGACAGTTCTCAGAAGCCTCTGGAATCCCAGGGGCTTCACTGCATGCAGAGCACCATGGTGGGTACCAAGCCAGACAGAGGTGGGAGTTACTGGTAAGGAAAGATGCTTTTCAGGCACCAGTAAGCCCTAGCCCACACGTGACTATGCACCTTGGGTACCTTGCTTTGCTTGTGTTTAGTGAAATCTGCCAGGGCTGTTGCAGTAGGTGAGAAGTGAACTAGAATCAACTCCAGTTCCCTCAGCACCACTGTAACTCTGATGAGCAAGAAGACTCAACTACTCTATGTGTTTTCTGCAAGTGATGTCAAGGCAGTGATCCAACCAGTATATCTGTAGGAAACAGGAAAGCACCAGGACATGCCATTCATGACAATTTGCAGAGTAGAATTCTATTATTACTGCTGCTTCTATTACTACTTCCACTGTTGTTTCTTGTTCTAGTTGTGTGTGTTCCAACTCCCCTTGAAACGCAAACTCTCTGGCAGAAGAGAAGAGATGCTTGGTTTGAAAGCAGACCTAAATTAGGGTTGTTGGCATGTTAACTACTTGATTGAAGATGTAAAATATGTGAAAAAAGAGGACAGCAATGACTCCATTGTTATATCATAAAACTTAGAAGTATGGTAGCACAATAAGGAGCTTAGTTTATACTGTGTGCCCAGTATGTGGCAGCTCTGACTATTGCTATAGTCAGATGATCCCAGGCCACTGGAAGTTGTGTGGATATGGAACTAGTTGGTGAGCTGAGATGTTTGGTGAAGTTTGTCCCATTATTTAATGTTTAAAATGAAGTTTAACATTTGCTTAGTAATAGAACTAGTTGCAATGTTTGCTTTTTTTCTGTATGCTCCTTTTAATACCAGGGATGTCCTCAGAACAGAGTATTAACATTTCTTTCTTATATTTTTACTTGAACATTGTAGAAATCAGCTCTCAGGAGGAAGTGTGCAGTCTGTAAAATCGTGGTCCACACTGCCTGCATTGAGCAGCTAGAAAAGGTAAGAGAGCGCCACCTACTGCCATTTATATTCATTGCGAGTGTTTGGTCTTCAGTTACATTTGGGTGTCAGGTGTTAACTTCTATTTCCATCTTTTTGAAAACAATGACCTTTTAAAAACCTGGAAGCCACACATGATTACAAGATTAATAACTGAAAGATAATGTTTGCGAGTCATTCAGTCTGTTGTTTGCTAAAGTATTACTTGATATTTAATGTTGACTCTTGAATAAAATGATAAAAATGGAGGGAAGAGTGTGGTTTGCACTAATTCTCTTCCTATATAATCTCTGCTCTTGAACAAGATATTTCTTTAAGAAAACAATTCCATCAGCTGTGATCTTGAGATTGTCATTTACATATCCTTCTCTTTATGAGTTCATTTCTTCCTTAAGTGGCCTCAAGGGAGAGAGCAGAACCTGAAAGCAGCCCCTCATCTCTTCTGTAGATTCCTGTGCAGTGTCTGTGCTCGTGTAGCTCATATGAATGTGTGGCTGGGCTGGAAGTGACATCCTCATTGCCCCTGAAGACGCAGGTTCTGCGCAGTCCGTTTCTTTATTATTTAGGGCAAGGGCACGGCTCCACTACATAGTCTGCTGTTCTCTGTCTCACACTTCTTACTTCAGTTCCGCATATAATTCTCTGTTCACTGTCTAGGCTCTAGAGTGAACATATTGAAACATTTTAGTTTCATGACTGTTAGTTTAGTTTCCCACTTATGTGGTTTCGCTGACACAGTGCAGCCGTTGTTCACTGGTATCTTGTGACAGTGACTGCTCACATTTACCTTAGTGTTTTTTCATCTCAACCCCACTCACTCATCTCCCTCATTCTATATTTATTTCATTTTATCCAGCACTGAAGAAGATGCAAATTACCGATCAGGAGGTCTTCCTTTCTGTACGGCAGGGCTAATCTTTAATAGAGAATAATTTTGGATGATTTGAATAATTCTCACAATATTTAAAAGTTCTCAAATTTATATTTTCTTCTTTTAAAATCTGAAATCCAGCTGGATGGTTTCAGATGCCATGTATTTTTCTCTGATTCTTTCTTACTACAGTTTCTCTAAATGCCAGTCTAAGAGCATTAGTATTTACAGATACATTGATTTCATCACTAAGAATGAAGGGACTTGGATTTAGGCATGGGATCACTTGACATCTCTGCGGACTCTCTCATGTGATGATTTGGAAAGACTAAGAATAGAGTTAAACTTGGTTCCTTATTCTTTGGGAATAATAGCTCAATATTGTTTCCATGGATATTTTTGGTAATTTAATCTAGTCTGATGGTTACCCCTAATGTAATGTATTTTTCTTTTTACATGACAGATTAATTTCAGATGTAAACCAACATTTCGGGAAGGGGGCTCGAGATCACCAAGAGAAGTGAGTATTTCAGGACTCTTTCAGTTACCACCTTGCATTCCTGTGGATTCAGTGGGCTCATAGATATTCGCTGTTCACTGGGGATTAAGAATTGCATTCTGTGTTCCTCTGTTCCGAATCAGTTTCTTGTTGAGATATCAGTCAATACAATCCCCCACTGTCTGCAGTGTGTGCACATGGCATTCTATTCTGCTCATGGAATAACTGTGTTGAAAGCCAAGTTCTTACTGAATGAATCAAACAGTGAGGGAGGAGTAGAAGGAAGGGGTAAGGAAACAATAGCCTTTTATTGTATTTTGGCTAATTTGCATTCCAATTTCTCACTTTGGAGTGGGTATCAACTATTCAGGAAGCATTGTAGTTACTATTTATTCATATGAATGCTAGAGTTGGACTGTCCTCTCTCAAAGCCAGTCCTGATGCTATGTAACCTTGGATATCTCATCTAATATCTCCAAGTAACAGAGTTTTCATGTGTTAAATAAATAAATAGAATTACCTTCAATAATCAATCATTGACCTTATAGTCTGTTATGAAGATAAACAAGTTGGTAGGAAACTAGAATTTGAAGTAGTTGGTGTCATTTTGGCAGTAGCAGATGGTACAGGGGAGGAGATGACTCTTAAACGTGTTTGTTTGTTTAGGTTTTCTTTAGAGGAGACACCAAACACAATTGCAGGGAGATGTTAGAGAAGGTGAGAATGGTTCTCAGCCCTCCTGCATTATTCTCTGGAGTCTAGCTCTAGGCCAGAATTGCACTCTACAGTCAGGAAGACAAGAGCCTACCACAGAAGAACTCAGCCTTGTTAGAGTATATTTTCCCTCCCTGGATGTTTCCCACTGTCCCACATATTATGATCTTATATAGAGTGCTCCTTAGGAGAAAGTGTGGTAAGGAGCTTTTGATTAGTGTACTTTCTCCACTCCCTTTATGTTCCTAGTGAAATTGAGTTCCAGTTCCACCTACAGATTTACCTTTGGAAAACATTCCAGGTAGTGTATGCCTCAAGGAGAAAGGGGTCTAAGTAGCCCTAAACAGAAGTGAAGGAGCAAAGAGGCAGGAGTGAGTGATCCTGGTGAGAAAGAGTGTGACCTATGAGGTGAGCGAGTGCTAGACCTTGATGGTCCTCAGGAGCCATGCTGCAGTAGGGTGTTTTATCATCGGGGAAGTTGGGAAGGGGGCATTTAACTATTTTCAGCAGAATATACTCTGCTGAATGTAATGTCGAGGGAATACCCTGTGGTTCTGGAGTAGTACTGCTGGAGGCATGGAGACAGCTGAGAAAGCATTGTGAGTTATCTAGGCAAGCAAGAATGGTGACTTGAACCGAGAGTAACATGGGTGGCAGAAAAACGAGTTTGAAGCAAACAAAACTGACAAGGTGTAGTAATTGATGGGATTTGGGGATAGGAAGCTGTGAAGGAGAAGGTCCCAGAGTAAAACAACTTTCTGCCTTGGAGAATGTATTCCATGTTGGAAAAGGAGTTTATTTGGGCATGTGATGAGGAAGTAATGAGTTCAGTTGCAGAACTATCAGGTTTGAGATGGCCTGTGGCCCCTACTTAAAGATGTGCAGTAGAAAGTGGGGTGGGAATATGAGTTTGCAGGCTATCAGGAATTAGGAGCTACAGTTCATACATTCGCTAATTTTCGGCACATGTAGGCAGTAACTAAAGGTGTGAGATACCTGAGTGTGTAGAATAGGAATAGGAGATGTCTGAGTACAGAAAAAAACCACACAAATTTTACATATAGTCAGTAATAGGCTTGGGGCAGTGGTGCAGCCATGTGTTCTCAGCTACTCAGGAGGCCGAGGCGGGACTTTGAGTCCAAGAGTTTCAGGCCAGCCTGTGCAATATGCAAGATCTTGATTAAAATAAATAAAAAATTTTAAAAGCCACTGTGAAAAAGTGATGTAATCATTACTGATGAAGTCCAGAGGATTGAGAGAAAACAGAAGGAAAGACTCTTACCCCATCCGTTGTCTTCTCCTGGTGTTCGTGGTTATGACCACCTCGCAGGTGTTCCCAGTGCACTTGGGGCATGGCCACAAGATCACTCAGTGGTAGCTCAGAAGAAAGATGCATTCAGGAAAAGAGAGGGGATAGTGTTGTGTTCTTATGATGGACTTTATGGGTTTTTAGCCAAGAAGTTCCTCTCTACCTTTAGCTCCTTATCCTTCAATCTCAATTCCCTTCCTCTCTCTGGAGAGAGATAGATAACTAAATCGGGGTGTTGTTCCTTTAGATGCTTTGCTTCTCTTCCTGAAACTAGTCCTTTCATCTGGATTATCAAGATCTTCCATTGTCTTCTTACTAACAACTTGGTATTCTTTTTCTATGTTTTCAAACACTCCCCACCCCCATCTAGATTATATTCATCAGCATAAACATGCTGTAATAGTTTCTATCTTAAAAAAATAAACTGTGCTTAACCATTGCTCAGATTCTCAGTTTTGTGTTCACTGCCAGACTTCCAGGAAATGTTGTTGATTTAAATTATTTTTAGCATGTTATCTTCTAGTCCTTCTAACCTGTTTTGAGTTGGTCTTTACTCATTCACTAAAATTGCTAGTTTAGCGTTACAGGTGATCTTGCTCATGCCAAACCCATCAGATATCTTTCTCTTCTTAATTTCAGAAATATTCAAAATATAGCATTCCATTTTTTTTTGAAATACCCTCCTCTCTTGACTTGCAGCATCATTCTCTCCTACTTTTCCTCTTCATTGTAGGCCCTTCTGCTTGCTGTCACGGCTTATCCCCCAACCTCTAAATAACCTGCTGGGCTTGGTGCTTGTGTATGTTGTTTTCTTTGTGCATTCTTGTTCAAAGAGCTAACATCTTGACTTTACATTTCCAGCTTACATTTCTTGAAGTTCCATTTGACACTTCCTTTGAATGTATCATAGCCACCTCAAAATACATAAAAAAATGAAACCCTATCACCATAAAACTACTTTATCCCACGCTTTTGCACCTCATAAAAAATGAGATCAATTGGAACAGCTGAGAGTCATACTGATTTTTGCTGTCTTGTTCTCTACACCTCCACTGCATTCATCAGTCCTGTCAATTTTATTTATGAAATGTTTTTCATAATTCATCCATTTATCTGTTTCTAATGTCAGCAACTTAAAATATGGCACTATGATTTTTCACCTTTGACCACTGCAGCAGCTTCTACATGATTTTTCAGTTTCTCCCTCCAAGTTACCCATTATTTAAGGGTGTGATCTTTTAGATGAAAATTAGGTCATATAATTTTCCAGCTTGGAAGTCTCCAATAATTTGCATAGCACTGAAAGCACAGCTAGATCCTTTGTCTTATTAGGAAAGACCTGTGTAGTCTGGCTGCTGCCTACCAGTCTTGCTCTATGTAGCACTAATAGGAGCTTTCGGTTCCCAGGGGACATCCCAAGATCCTCCCCATTTTTGCACATTTGTGTACTATATTGAAATTTTCTTTGCATGACTGGCTATTTCTTATAGTCAAACTATAACTCAAATATCATCCCCTCACAGGTTGTCTTAGTCCACGTTTCCATACCAAAGTACCCTAGGTACCAGGGTAGCTTGTAAACAAGAGAAATTTGGTTTTCACAATTCTGGACTCTGAGATGTCCAAGATCAGGGGGCCAGCATGGTTTGGTTCTTTTGAGGAGCCTCTTCCAGGTTGCAAACTTCTGCTTTCTTGTATCTTCACATGGATAAAGAAGGGTAAGAGATCTCTCTGGAGTCCTTTTTGTAAGGCACTGGTCCCATTTATGAGGGCTCCACCCTCATGAGCTAGTTGCCTCTGGAAGTCCCACATTCTAATGTCACCACATTGTGGGTTAGTATTTCACACACACGAGTTGTGGGTGTAACAAGCAACTGTTGAAGAGCTCTCCCTCATCTGTTGAAGAGCTGTACCATCTGTAAATGCATAGCACATTGCTCTTTGTAGAAGCACCTTGTTCTGCCCCCTTCAGATCACCTTGTGTACTGTGATTATTTATGAATGTTACTGTTTACTGGTCTAACAATGTCTTCCTCCTTTAATGTAAGCCTTGGGAGATTCCTGATGGAATTTGTTTTAGTCTTATTGTGCCAGGATGAAGAGTGTGTGGTCAATGAGTATCTACTGACTGAAGACATTTATAAGAGGCTGCATTTCTTCTAAAATGCTTGAGCACTCTTGGTCTAAGAGGACATTTTGAAGATGAAACTTATGACTGATGGTGATTGATTTGAAATTCTTTTTTTTTGTACCAGGGATCGAACTCATGTCTTTGTGCTTGTGAGGCAGGCAGTGGCACCACTGATCTAAATCCCCAGCCCTTGAAATTCTTAACTAAGAGACTTTAATAGATTACTCAATGTAAGTGATAGAACATTCCCTTTAAAATTAGCTTGAACTGGGTTCACATTCCACCTCTGCTTTTCAGAGTCTCAAGAGCAAGGATTGCTGATCACTATGTCTCACCATTGCATAGGACTTGATTATGGTATCTTTTTAACAAATATTTATTAAACAAATACTTCATCTAAGTTGAGTCTCTCTGGAACTTCATTTTCTTAGTCATAGGCTATATAGATTGGGTTACTGTTTCTAAGAACTTTTCAAACATTCTATGAATAACATTTTGAATTGAATTGGGTATTTGAAAATATTGAGCCATTATGCTATGTATTTATATTAATAATACTAAGTATAAGGCCTGAACTGATATACCACAAATTTTTAAAACCCAAAAGATTGTCTTTTCTTTACTAGAATATGAATAGTTCAGAAATTATTGATGAGCAAGGAATATTATGGTGTTAGAAACTCCACTTTACTATTTTAACAACTGTGTATCAACGCTCACATTTGCAGTGTGAGAATCCCAAATCTATTAGTTCAATAATTTAAGAACAATGAATAATGATAAAAAGAACAATGTGAAAAATCTGATAGAAGCCATGAAAATCTTTAGAAACCATGAAAAATGACTGAAAGAAGTGTGAAGAATCTAATTTCAGTGCCATAATTTAAGAGCCATGAATAATGATCAAAAGAAAAGAGTGAAAAATTAAAGTGTTTTTGAATAAGGATTAGAAAATAGCGGCCATCTATGGTAATATCTTACTTTTCTTAATTGATGAAAGTAACTGATGATCCTCTCTTTCTCAGATGGTAACTCCATGATTTAGTTTTCTAAGAAATAAGGTTGAGAGTTCCATTCAGTCCAACATGCATTTATTGCGTGTTTAGTTTGTTCAAACTGTGTGTTTAAGCTTATTTTCTTTCTTTTTACTAGAATATGTTTATAATATGTAATCATTACAGTCATTTTGGGCAATTGATACATATACATATTTTATGATCAGATTATCTTTAAACCACAGTAATATAAATTTATACTAGGCCAAAGAAGAATTCTGAATAGAAAGATGCTTGACATCTCCAAAGCTAAAACTATAGATTATAGATTATAGATTATACTCAGTTTACTAAGTCATTAAGTTTCTTCAATGATAGTAATTTTTGTGTCGATTACTTTATCTGTAACATCGTTTTCTAAGTCTCCTATTTATTTTCCAGAAAGAATAATATTACGTATATTTAATGCCTAGTAATCATATATATTAATAATTAAATAAAAATTTAAAATATTTTCTTTTGTTTCCAAAGCAAGCTAAATTACATGGTATTGTAAATCTGTTTGCCAAGTGATGTACATCACAGTAAAATGATTAATTCAGTCATCTAACTTCTAAGTAATTGTTGATTTGTGAAAATGGTTGGCTTACTCCTTTGAGTAGATCTGTCACTACCTAAATGACCCACGAGTCAGCTATGATTTCTCACAGGTAATCACATCCAGTTCTTCAGCATTTCCTGTCTTGAATTGGTAGTCACTAAGTGATTTATAAATCCAATAAGTACAGAGTTTTTCTTTCAATGATATTGTTCATTCTCCTGAGTTTCTTCTAAACTAAGAGCAAGCGTATTAAATTTTTCTCTCCCTTCTGATTACTGTCTGACATTCCTGCATACTCGGTATTTCCACTCTTGTCATTGGAATCCTTTGTGGTGTGTCTTGTTGAAGTAGCTGAAGTATGATCTTTCAGAGCAGAGCAGAGGAGAGACACAGCTGAAGGAGCATAGGTCACTGCTTTTAATTGACCTTCTGTACTTTGATTCCCTCTTTTGTTAAATGAAGATGATAATGATAGCTAGAGTCAAACTTTATGAGGTGCTACCCTACATACTTTTTTTTGAGTAATTTTGAGACAGGGTCTTGCTAAGTCACTATGTGGCCCTGGCTGGGCTCAAACCTTCAATCTTCCTGCCTCAGCCTCTCAGAGTGCTGGAATTACAGGAATTCCCCACCACATCTGGATGAGATGCCTTACAATAATGTTAATTGTGATGCCCTACAGTTGGCAGTTTGCTCCTGTTCTCCCCACTCCAATCCTAAGACAAGAACTGAATAAACTTCTTGTCTCATTACTAGAATAAGAGGTTGAGGGGCTCAGCAGTAGAAGGGAGTGGAAGGTTCAACATTTCACCCCCTACAGAGTTCTTACATTCAGGCTGGGCTGATGATGACAACTGAGCATGTTCCTGGGATGGTGGTCACTGTCTAGAAAGCCACAAGCAACATTTGAACCCAGAACTGCCTAGGTGGACATGTAAATTTACACAAACAAGCACTACAGTTGGGCCTAGCCCATTCTTCCAAGGTTCTTGAGGGAATCAGTGGCCCTGACCAGGCAACAGTGAGCTCATTGGGCCAGGATCCTGAGAACCTGATGTGTGAGAAATGTACATTCTCATTGTTTAATAGTGAGGAGATGGACATGGACTCCAGTATTGAGGGGTGCAGTAGAGGTTGCTACGGCAGCAAAGGAGGAATGGGGAAGGGGTCCTACACTCCAGTGTCCCAGGCAATTTACAGATAGTTCAATACTTGAAGAACTCCTGAGACTTCATTTTAATATATTCCTACTGAACAGCACCTCTAGTCACTAAAATTTTCATGAAGATTAGAAGAACTGTTAGGCATAAAATATACTTAAAGTGCCTGGGGCCCAATCAGTAATCAGAAAGCGCTATTATTATTTACTTCTTTCTTAGAACAGATAAAATTGTCTTTGTTTTGGTGACCGTGGGAAAAGCAAGATGAAAAACAGACTAATTTGTGGGACCATTATGCTTCTTCATATCTTATTATAGTCAAGAGACCATTTTCCCTCTTGGGTTTTTCTTTAGTTTTAGCATAAGTTGACTTGATGTTATTAAGGGAAATGGTTGCATTTTGGCATTAACAATCTTAATGTTTATTGGAGGTATTCTCATCACTCCGATTTTCATACCTGGATGTAACTGTCTTCTCTTTACTCCACACTGACCTTAAACAGTGTCAGGTGTGTAGTAGGGATTTAGTAAATATTTGTTGGATGACTGAAAAAATATTAGGGGCCTGTAATGAGAAAATATGGACTCTGACTGGATCCTACAATATGCATGTCAGTATCAAGTAAAGGGTGCGATCTCAGGAAAAGGTAAAAGAAAAGAATAGGTTATACTTTAGGTATATCGGTCTAAGAGAGACGAGTCGTGCTAAGTTATTAGGTCTGAGCCCAGAGATTTAGCTTAGTGGTTCTGCCACCTGCTTTGCAAGCTCAAGGATCCAAGTTCGATCCCCGGTACCAAAAGAAAAGTTATTAGGTCTGCCTGCATCATTTGTTCTGAGAATATTACTCTTTCTTCTAAGGTGCCCTAAGAGCTAACAGTGATGGGGCTGCTTGCCTCTCTGTCCCGGGCATAATTATCTTCTCGAAAGGAAAGGAGCTGCCTAGTTCAAGGTGCCTGGAGATCCAACATAGTATCACTGCCGGATCATCACCCACACACCCACATCTCTTGCCTTTGACATTTCTTTTCCTCGGTTTTATCTTCCTTCACTTTATCTAGTAAAACATTTTCAAATCAATGCCTTGTAGTAAAAGACCTCTTTCTTTCTGAGAATTTAAATTCCATCTAGTTAGAATGTTTAGAATAGTACCTGCCTGCCATGGAAAGCATTCAATACATGTTTGTTAAGTTGAATCGGATGTTTCTGTTCCAGCCCCTCTCCTTCCCTGTTTCATTTCTCCCGGAGTATTTCTTTTATCAGTTTCATGGACCTCCTTCAGCCGTTCACAATTCTGCACAGTCTGACTGATTAGACAGTCGAGTAAAGCAAGCCGCTATGGCCCCTTACCCCTAGGAAGATAGGGAGGAAGGGTATAATACATAGAATCTATAGTTATAGAAGTTCTCTGGGGATAGAGAATTAACTTCATTTTACACGAGTGAATTCATACTTACTGTTGAACAAGTCATAAATACACATATTTGCTCTTGTGCTCATTTGGGCATAAATTATGGTTTATATAAATCTATCATGTTAAAACATTAAAACATAAGTATTGAGGTTTGCAAATTAAAAAGTTTTCCTTTAACTTTGTTTTCCCACAGAATTTTGTGCGTCATCACTGGGTGCACAGGCGCCGGCAGGAGGGAAAATGTAAGCAGTGTGGTAAGGTAAGGGCCCAGCCGACCACGGCCTTACAGGAGGTGGGCACCGAGGTAGAGGACTCCTGGCCCCAAGCCTAGTGTTCTGTACATCAGTTCTTTTCTGAAAGGCATTATTTTTCCAAGTTCCCTTTTCTTAAGAAGTATTTTGATTGTTCTCAAACTCATTGCAAGGGGAAGTTGTCTTAAAGAAATTTGCACATTTTGATGGACAGTCTTACAGTAAATTTTATTAATTGTTGATCTTTGATATATATGTTTTCCTACTTTGTTCAATTCCCTCTAAAGGACCACTGGCCCACTGAACATATTTGAACAGTCACAGTGCTGTGGAGCAATATTACTTTTGCTGATATAGAATTGTCAGCATATACTCTGATAGCATAATACTGAGCAGAACTGTTCAGTTGACAACATGGTCAGAACCTGGAAATACACATGTTACTCTCTCGGAACCTTTCCAGTTTTTGGGCAGAGATGCCTTCATGCATGACACTATGTGTCTACTTCATTTCTTCTTTTGATTGAATATCCCTCAGGACACAGTGTCTTTTGGAAAAGTGAGGGGCATGGGTCAAAGTGGGTATGACTGCAAGCTTTAAACTCTCTGCATTTTATGTTATTGATTTGGATTATAACTTTTCCCAGTGAACAAAGATCAACTCTTAAGAATTTTAGGGTTTTCTAGGATGATTAAACTGGTAACAAATCACACTATTAATGATTTTTTAAAATAAGCTATGGGCATCAGTAAAGGGAGATTTTAATTAGGCAGAGAATAAGATAATTTGGGAGAATACATTCCTCATCAAAAAATTATTAATTTTTTTTTGTTTAATCATGTGACTCCTTTGGGTTAAGCAATAGGCTGACTAACGTGGAGCTTTTAATAATGGAGGGATGCAAAGAAATTTGGGCAGCCTGGGTAGGATTGTGGGAGGTGAGAAAGAATTGGAAACATTTCATTGATTTTGCTGTTTACCTTGTTCCTGGGAAGCAAATATCATGCTGTAATGATTAGTTATCACATTCTTCTATAGCACAACTTACAATAGCTAAATCTTGGAAATGGCCTATATGTCCATCAACAGATGAATGAATAAAGAAAGTGTGGTGTTCATGTTCACTGGAGTCCTACTCAGCCATAAAGAAAAATAAATTTGACTCATTTGTAGGAAAATGGATGCATCTGGAGACTATAGTTCTGCGTGAAATAAATAAGACACACGCTTAAATAACATGATTTCTCTCATATGAGAAATTCAAAGTATAAATAATTTAAAGAACAAAATAAAAGCTAGGTGATAAGAAACAGGAAGGTAGACCTTTTGCAGGCAGGAAGAGTAGGGATGAAAGGAGAGGAAAAGGAGAGGAGAGAAAGGACAAATAGAATAAGATGTGTATATGTACTAACTCCCCACAATGAATGTAATCATTATGCTTTGTAAACATTTACTGATATAAAAAAAAGTTTTCCTGCAGAAGACTCTAGGACACAGTCCTACATTGTAACTAGTACTATCTTCTCCAGTTCAACCCAGTGGGTCTTAGTTGGTTTTATTTTCGATGGGCAAAATAGGTTGAAAAAAAGATGAAGTAAGAGGAAGAAGACAAGGAAGGAAGAAGAGAGGTTGAAAGATTTTTATTAGCCATTTTACATTGCTGGGAAGGTCAGTGTTCTACTGTCATGTGCCCTTCCTGCTTAGTCCATCTATGTCTTCCGCTGTGGTTCTGCCTTCGGGTTTATGGGTTTCCTCATGCTTTTAAATAGTAGAATATCTATCTATCTATCTATCTATCTATCTATCTATCTATCTATCTATCTCTATCTATCTATCTATCTATCTATCTATCATCTATCGAGGGGAACATATATGTATTTAAGAGAGACAGGAAGGCACAACCAAGTTTGGCATCCCTGGTGTGGGCTGTAGGAAGGATCTGGATGAATAGATTTTCTTTTTGGAAAAACATCTTCACTGGAGAGTTTAGCACCTGGAACCATTTAACCAGTTGAAGCCATAAAGAATTTGGAGGAATTTTGTTTTTAAAAAACAATAAACCTAATATATTTTGTATTCTCTGGTGTCATTTTTGCACTTCCTTATGCTGGCATGGTCACCTGAATGGGAAACCCTGGGACTCCTTACACCTTGTGTTGCTGTGGCCCAGTCTCCTTTCCTCCTAGGGTGCTGATCTTGGGTTTCTCACAACTTTCTGTTCATGACAGTTGTCGGTGGAGATGTCCCAGCTCTTTATGTACAGTTCCCACATTATAATACTATTCTGTTCATCTTTTGTGCTTATACTCAGGTGCTCATGAATTCTTAGACTCAAGTAGATAAGGGACAGGATGGTCTTACACATATGTGTCCTTCTAGGAATCCTTTACAACCCAGCTTCTACCTTGTCCTGGAGGAAAACTGAAGGCCCTATTTCTGTATACATATAAGGTGAATGAAAATTCACTTCAGACTTTGGTGCTGTATGTCATTTTCATCTGTAGAGTTGCGCATTCTCACTCTCAGGTTTTTAAATCCACCCAACCTCTGTAACACATACGGTATTCCTCACTTAATTAATTAATTAATAAGGATGAGATAAAAATAGCCACTTCTCTTAGCAAAAAAAATTTTTTCCCTTTACTGGTGGTTTTTAAACTTTGGGGCTTTTCAGGAATGTGTATAGTCAGAATGTGTGGTTTCAATATCCACTTTTTAATTTAACAATATAGTAAATATTTCTAGTGATTTTCTCTTGAGCCTTGCATGAATTTATGTAAATGCATGTGGTGTCTAGTGACTATCACATGAGAGATGTTCAATTTTTCAGTTCATTTAACATTAGCTGGACACCTCAGGTTGCCAAATTTATGGCTATTATATGGTATTACATTGCTGTCATTTATGTTCCAGTATTGTGAAAGAGCCAGAGTAGAGGCAGAAAAGAGAGGAAAACTTATGATGAGACTTTAATAAAGTGAATATTTAAAATGTGTGACTAGAGGTTAGTATTGGCAAGAGCTATGTCAGGCCAAATGCCAGGCCCTTCCCAGGAGCTGTGACCTTAAGTAACAAGATTTCACCAGTCTGAGGAGCTCAGTTGGAAGATAAATGGCTGATTTTATCTTCTACCTCTAGTGGGTCCACCAGGGCTCCAGGCACTCTGCTGGGGTACTACAAAATCCAACTTTTTGCAACAGAACAGAGGGTAGAAGAAGATGAAGAGTGGACTACAGAGGCAGATGGGATCTATCTATCACATATTGTTTAATACAAATTTGCATTCATTCAGTGGTTAAAGATAGATTGCATACTTATTCTGCAAACCTGTCTGTAAGTCATTCTTACCAAATATACATATTGCATTCAATAAATCAAAATTGACTCAACACTGAAATGTCTGTAATACTTTAAAACATCAATATACAAAGAAAAAATATAGTAATGATTATAGCTAATATGAGTCTTCATTCTTTCAGAGAATCAAGCATCCAACCCTAGGAATTTGGAAATTGTGGAAGTATATTTGTAAATCACAACTTGGAAGTTTTTTGGTTTTTTTTTTTTTTGGTACCGGAGATTGAACTTGGAACCTTGTGTTTGCAAGGCAGGCACTGGCACCACTGAGCTAAATCTCCAGCCCTGGACATTTGTCTTTTTCCATGTACAAATATATGCAAACATTATAAAGTATACCAGATAACTTTTTAAAACTCACAACTCAAATTTAAATTATCAAATCTTGAAGTTTTTAATCAATAATGTAAACTTTGACCTGCATTGTTCGATATCTTTCATTTCCTTAACCAAACATGACAAATCATTATGAATTATTTATTCATAAATTATATGTACTGTCATATTTAATTAACTTAAGCTACATGCAGCAAATATTAAATGGGAAAATGTCAACATTACTGTTTAATTATGACAGATACTGCTAAAACTTAATTTAAAATGAACTAAGGTGCAGTTAGTAAAAATACACATTTAAAAAAGTATACATATTATTCTTTTTATAATGACAAAATGATTATAATTTTTACATGGTAGTGTAGTTGAGATTTTATAGAGACAGTGAAAGGGATTATAGGACCTAAAAATGGAGTGATACCTTGGTTGTTGAATGACTCCAAGCTGGAACTTCCCACTATTCGAACAGCAAAGTAAAAAAAAAAAAAAAAAATCTGTTTGGTGTTTGCAAATTTGCTCAATAGTTGAACTGAAAACCTGACTTTAAAAACCTATCTTAAGAGTGAATTATGCATTGCGTCTCACTACAGGCCTAAAGGGGTGACAGTTCTTCACTCTATGTGCTGCTCTCACCCAGACAACACATAGTTCTTGTGCAGTTTGTGGGCCTGAGAACCAGTTACTTGGTTTTCTATTATTTCTTATCAGAAAAATACATTCATTTCTCAAAATTTATGAATGAATTGAAGTGAATTGAATTCCACAACTGAGATATCACTGCAATGGCAAATACTGACTTTTGGGGGAATGCTCCATATCACCTGAAAGAACCATTCTGTACTCATCTGAAAATGGGCAGCTTTCAAGAAAGCCTAGGGATTAACTTTCAAGGGACACTAAAGTTTAGGAAGCAGGTATAGATGGTCAAGGGTGAGGATCCACACATTAGTCCAACATGTTGAATGATTTATCTGTGTGTTTGTCCCGCTGTAACAGTCATCTTCTTGAATTAACCTCAGGATGATCATGGAGCAGGTATACAGTGGGTAACAGAACAGTGGTGTGGAATCCAAGCCTGTCTAGACTGCCCCAACACAACAACTGAAGTCTGGATTTTCTTTCTGTCCTTGGCTGATTATCACGAAAGTAGACAGGGAAACCATCCTTCTCCTCTTTATCCATTTTAAATTCTTCATAGAAATGGTATCATGCAGTCTTTCCCCTGTTGTGTCTGACTTACTTCACTCAGTTTAAGGTATTCCAGGTTCACTAAGGGTGGGAAATGTAGGGAGGTGTTGATCAAGGATACAGTGA